TTAGAGAAATCAGTAGTTTTGGACACCTCACGGGCAAAGAAACGCTAGCGAAAGGGCACGCGTCAACCAAGTAAGTCACCACCCGGTATTTAGGAAGAAATACTTGTAGGGTTCGCTTGGATTGTATGTATGCATGTTAGTAATTTTTGCCTTAAATTAGCTCTCCATGAATGAGATTAATTAGATGGATTGTTATGATGTGTTGGGTGAATTATCTGAGTGTTGCTTGTATGCCTTAAGCTTCCGTTGTACGTATGCATGCGTTTANGTCAGTCCCTTTTCGGTCTTTTAGAGTCTTTTGTATTTCATTTTATATTTGCAATTTCTTTTGTAATAATTAACAAACGAAATTTCTCTCTTTTGTTTTTAATTCAAAGTATTTTTATATTTTTACTTTGGTTTTTCTTTTCTTCTACTTTCTTTTTGTTTGTTTTCGATTTCGTTTCTTTTGGTTCACGGTCTGGTTTTCGAACCCTCGAAAATCGGGTCGTGACAGATTGGTATCAGAGCAGTCGGTTTTAGATTCTGTAGACTTTTTCTAGGATAGAGAGTCGTACACCTCTGTGACTCAGCTCGACGACACGCCTTGCCACGACCAGGTATGCAGTCTAACCCTGTTTAATAGGTTACGGTATGATGTAAAGCATGTGAATTTGTTGTTTGTTTTGGGTTATGTGGTAGTTATGATTATGCCTTAGGGCGATAAATAATGAATGATCACTCTATACGTCAATGCTAGATGCGAGTTATTGTGAGGAGGCCGAGAGGGGTCATGTTAAAGCTTACTAGCCTTAGGGAGATAGAGAGATGACGCCGCAGAATGCGAGACGTCCAAAGATGAACATGAGACTTTCTAAGGCCTAGTACGAGGTGAATTACCTAGGACCCAGCCTCCTGTGACCATAATTCTAGATGGCAAGCATGCCTATGTGGAGAGCATGTAGAAGGCTTAGACAGTATAGAGCATGCCTTGGTATAAACCACAAAGGTAGACCCAAGCAATATTGTTCGTACAACCAAAGACGATCACTATAGGAATTAAATACCCCTCAAGCAAACCGTTACCTCAACCGAGTTTTGGTTAAGTTGGGAAGTCGAGAGATAAAATTCACCAACAATGAGAGTGAAGCGATGGAAGTCATGACTTCAAGGTTTGATTGGAGTCTTCACGAGCTAAATTCAAGTTTATGGACTTCCAAAAGTGTGATGTGCCCTTTTATGCCACTAATAGGATATGGGGTGTAGGATATTCCTATTGATGGATCACCTAATGGATGACAAGTCGTTTTGGACCTTGGAGTAGATGACCGAGTCCAATAGCAGCACGTGGTTATCAGGATCATATGAACGTGTTCTAACCTATTCTTGGTCAGAACATGCTTGCTTACAAACGTGAAAACTGTTAAGGTAATCCAGTGAACCTTAGGATTAAGAAGAGCAGGAAAAGCGGGCAAGCTATGGCCATGCCTTCGTGTCTGGAGGGAGAAAGTTCATATGCATGTTAGTAAGAACCAACCCTTGTTTAGGTTATCTGGATTACAAAGAGTAGAACTCTATTTTTTTTTACACATAAGTGTAACACCATACTTGTGAAGCATGCTCAGACAGAAGTAGAGACGCTAGATAACGTGAGTTTGGAAACTACCTGAAGAGTAGTGAGATGGTGATAGTACACTAGTAAGGGNATGTGTCCCCACGTCGTACAGCCCATTAGCTGCATGGGAACGGGTTGGGTCGCGCCCCCCATAGGAGAACTATATGGGCGTAGGGGTATTCAGCACACCCCTAGGCTAGGTACCATGTAGTTCTAGATAGCCATGTAGAGGTAGCGCCTCATAGAGAGATACCGACCATATTAGCTGGGCATAAGGNGTTGAAGCAAATCAAGGCAGTATTTAAAGAAGAATTTGAGAATGATTATCCGGTTAGACATGGCATAGTAGTCCAATCGAGCAATTCAGCAAAGTGTGAAATCAAATAGAAATAGAGACTAGTGGAGCATACAAACTCTTCTAACGGGGGTTTGCTATGGTAAGTCCTTCTCTGAGTTCCTCGAGACGAGAGAATCTTGAAATAGATTATGACCTCACGATATATCTTACATGTTCCGCAAAGGAAGTACGAAAATGTATTAGAATTTGAAAAGATTTTACCAGTGGCCAGGGATGGAGAATGACATAACGGTTTTTGTAGGTCGATGTTTGACCTGCTAGTAGGTGAAGGTCCTGAGACATCGCCCAACATGATTACTACAACCCTTAAATGGTATTGCATGCTATTCATTGTATTCGCGGCTGTTCCAGCCTATGAAAGAGGAATTTTTGGGCATTTCATTACAGGGTCACCATTCTCAGCTGGAGTGATATCAACAAATGACTTGGGATTCATTCCAGTGGGCATGAAGGGACCTTTCATGGACAAACAAGCCCTCCATGGCACGCTCGCTTAGCGTTCATGGGTGCTATGAAATGTTGGGTCTTTTATTCTCAAAATCAGGCTTGTAAAAAGGTAAAAGCCGGTCTGGCTTCAAATTTAAACGAAGGTCATTATTCCTGTGATAATGTTTCTTGTGCTTAATGGATTTTGAATTCT